GGTCTGAAATGTGGAGATAAATGATTAGAGATAAGGAGAAGTGAGGTAATCGATGATCTGCACAAGCGTATTCAGACTTCATGCCTCTTCATAGGACGCATGTTCACATGATGACGGTGTTAGCATGATCTGAAGGTGGAGTGTTTAGCCTTTTGACCTCAAAAGGTCACTTATCAGACATCTGTGTGTGTCCAGTTGATGGGTTAGTGGTCTCAACTGGCCTGAAGTGGACAAGGGGTTCAAACACCAATTACCATGGTGACCCAGGCTCCAGTGAGATGTTATCTATAGGAACCTAGGGAGAGTCAGACAGCATATTGCCTAAATAGCACAGTTAACAATGGATGAGGGAACAAGTAACAGCTATAATCAGTAATTTCATCACTAGCTACTTAGTCATCAATGGCTAACTGTTTTCCAGTTTCAATCCCTCCTATTCTTTGGTCATTCCTCATTCTTGAGGGATTTGGAGCAACAACTGATCTGACTACTTCCTGCTGAATTGGGGCATAGATCTCGGTTAGAGGAATGAAACTGCTTAGCGCTCATTTAGAAATATTCTCATTCCTGGCTTCAGGTTGACATTTTTGCATTATTAAAATTTTGTACCTTGCTGAACAGTTTTGGAACAACATCTAAAGGCATATTTTATAATCAAGTATCTGACCAGAGGGATAAGAAGTACAGGCAACCCAAATTTTAATAGTCTCTGAAAAAGAGACCTAATCGCACTGGGGCCTCCATCTGATCTCCAGGTAGGGGCAGACATCTGGTCTTAGTTCCTGATAGTCTTTTGTTTTACTGTATATGCATCAAAGACTGGAGCGATGCCCTATACCCTGATCTTTCAGTTGTTATTGATGATGGCTATCAAGAGACTCTCTGCCTGGGGGTCACATTCCTAAGGAACTCAAAAGAACAAAGTCATCAACTTATAGCAGCTGGGAGGGACCATAAAATCTACAGAGCATTCAAACTTACAATATGGTTTCTTTTCTATAATATGGCTTCCCTTATATCAACACTGTGTTGAGTCGGTATCACATCTGTTGATGGGAAGATTGGACAAAGTTATATTGTAAAGGGGTATGATTACAGGTAGTTGTGATCCATTGGGGGCCATTATTGTGACAGTCTATAACAGTCTACCTTCAAGCCTCAAGAAAAGAGATTTACTTCTCTCCCACATGATTCTCTTCTTCCAAGATTGCCTAAGTCTCATCCAATCATAGCATCAGGCTCAGAATCCATGATCCTATAATCTGCATCAGGTCAAGATATTGATGAGGCTCTTTGGATACCATTCTTAGATTCAGATACCTGTGAACGAAAAAGACAAGTTATCCTCCCATCCCCTCACAGACCCATTGTACACTGGAGAGAAAGAAAACTACACTAATTAGACACTGCTGGCCAAAAAGGGGAACGGAGAGACATATAACAGTAACTGTTCTATGACAATTTGGAAATCCAGCCAGGTGCCTGTTAGCAGGTTCCTCTACTCCAGAGGTAGGTAATATTTCTTGATTAGGGCCCACTTCTACTCTCTTGAAGTAGTTCCCTAATCTTTTTCTCTCCTTGGCTCTTGGCAACACCCTCTGGGCTCCTAGCTCTGCCCTGACTTGTCCTTTCTTCTGCATAACAAATGACCCCATTTGTAGCTGAGTAGCTTTCTCATCCCACTTCCTACTCATAGAAAAGTGGGGGCCCAGAGGCCTCTTTCCATTTTGAACCATCTCAATCTCTTTTAGTCCAAGCTAGTGGTGTTTTTTCAACATAACTCTTTTAAAAACTTTGTGTGTTTTCTATGTATCTGATAGGGTTCACTCCATGCCCCCCAAAGCCACACAGATAATTCTTTTAGAGGCATTGGGCTGTAGTGCTAGTTTCTTCCTTATTACTTCAAAATTCTTCTCTCTTAATGAGGGTGGATAGTAAATTAAAGCTCTCATAGACATAAAATGTTGTGTTTCACACTATGCAAATAGACACGTCTCGTAAAATTTTGTGCATAAGTCAATTTTTTGTAAAGACAATGGAGTTTATAGCATTGTAGAATCTTGCCATTTAAAATCAATCTATTGTGAATCCTTTAGTAAAGTTTGGAGAGACAGTGGGGTAGAAAGAGGGATAGCTCTGGAGTCAGACCTGCATTTGAATCCCATTCTGCCACGTGACTTTGAACAAGTTCCTTATTCTCCTTTGGTGTTAGTTTCCTCATCAGTAAAACAGGAATACAAATATTCTGTGCTTGCTATATTGCTGGGTTGTTATAGAGATTAGAGATAAAGTGTGTAAAGCAACTGGCACATAATAAATGATAGCTAGAGCTACAATTGTAGAGCTGAATGAAACTTTAGCCCCCTTCCTAGGCTAACTCCATATCAAAACTTTTTGATGGTATACTTTATTGCATGTATATTTATTTACTCTAATGATGTACTACTGATCTAAGATAAAACACACCCCAAAAATAGAAATTAAAAAGAAGAATTTTTAACTTCACTTAAGTAGAAGTTCTAGTATTTTCTTCCTGCCCCCAGTGGATTGCATTTTTCACACGGAGTGCTGGAATTTGTGGCACTACCAATATAGAGGGAAGTGATGAAACAGTGGGACAGTTCTCTAGCAATCACTAGCATTTCTCAATTGATATAAAAAACCCACTAGAAAGCGTTGTGCAAGGTACTATTTGTAGCAGAATGTTTTCCCTGGTAGCCAATCAAAACTTCATTTTCTTTAGGTGAAAACCAAAAAGCCTGAAATTTATAAAAGAAACACATTTTTTAAATGTTTCAAAAGAATTATTTTTGGATTGTGCCTCTTCTACTAGAAGTAATGACCAATGATCTTCTTCTTCTTTTTGTATTTTAAGCTGTTAAATACTTTGTTCCTTCACTTAGACTTTTGTGTCTCCTCCGATTTCACTAATTCTTTTATCTACACTTATTCTACCTTTAATAACTGCTCTTAGCCCTGTAATTTTCATGTTAATATTTGACCACTGACAGTTTGATTTTCTGGTCCAATGTATAATACAAACTTTATTCCATTTAATATCCATAATTTTCTCCTCTCTCTGATACAAATGACACTTTGTACTTCTTATTCTGGTCTGTACATTTTGTGCATACTAACTCTAATTTTTTCTGTATACTTTGGGAAATATAATGGTGGGAATATACCAAATCACATTTCTTTTTCCAGTTCACTTTTTCTAGTTGTGGTAGTGGAGTTTAAAAATTACTAGATGTTTACTGTGACTATAATATTAGTCACAGTGTCTGATTTCTAATACACAAATATAATTAGGCTAAATAATTTGTCTTGAATAAAAATGCTTTAATTGAGAGAGAAGTCATATTCTAGGTAAAGCATTAATAAATTCTAATAACATTTTAAGTCTCTAATTATGCATTATTTGCCGTAGTCCTGTATTATTATTTGAAGGCATCTTAAATCCTTTAAAGAAGTAGGCTTCATATAATAATAATAATCATTATTATATATAGCTAACATTTATTAAGAATTAAATATGTATTAAATACTGCAATAAATATTTTACATAGATTATCTCATTTGATTATTATAAGTTAATGAAATAGGTACAAAATTGGGACTAGAGCACAAGCTGAAAGGCCACGTGGTGGATCATGAAGCTATATTGTCTCTGGTAATGAGTATCTTTGGCCCCAAAGTGATCACTTAGAAAACTTGAGATAAAGAAAGTTTCATTTACAGTAACGTTCTTATTCTAGTGTAATTTATTTTACATCCTGAACCTAATAAGTAATCCTATAATTATATGAAATATGTATAATCTTTTAAACTTTTCATATGCTTTAGATTAATGCATTAATATCATGTGGTTATTGAATTTTTATTTAGAATTTGCCAATTGTTTCTCTAATTTGACAGAGGACTAAATATCAAACAATCTGGGATCAGTTTCTAAAAGGTCTGGCTCACAAAGAAAACAGAACTGACATAGAATTTTAAGGCCAAATACTGAAGTTCATCAATGAGAGAAAGAATAAAATATATCAAATTAATAAATACAATGTTAGCGGTAACATTAGAAAATTCATTACCTGCTATAAAGTACAAGTTCATGACTTTTGGAGACATAAAATTTTGACTACTTTATAGTTGTCTTGAGTCATATTCCTCAGTCTGTAAAATGTGAATGTATTACATATGTGCATATTTTACTTCAGGAAATATGTAGGGTCATTTTTACTGTGCATCAAATAATTTTTCAATAATTGAAAATTATCAATCCTAAGAATGTAGTTAAATTGACATGCCATGATGTGTCACCCCATCATATTAGGTTTTCAAAGACTTATTTTTCTAAATACACAAATCAAGAAATTTCAAGTATTATGCAAAAATGAAATATACCAATGACTGTGTATGTATTCTATATGGCACATATATTCTATTCTTTATAAAAAGATTCATTAAAAATTGGTTGTGAAAATTATTTTCTCAAACTTCAAGGCCTGATGCAATTATACTAGTCTACATTTCTCAGATATTTATATCATTCAACTATATTAATTTTTAGTATCTCTCTGACATATGGGTGAGTCTATAAAAATATAAAAGATTGTATTCCCTCTTCTATATTTTAATATTCTCTATTAATAGATGGCATTTATTTACATACATACATTTTAATTAAATTCTAGCTCAGAAAGTTTTCCACTATTCCAATTAGCTCTATTATTTCTAGAACTCTTTTACGTTAATTCAATTTCAGGATGCTTGACTAAAGTATTTAGCTTATCTCTGGTGTAAGTTACATCTTTAAAAATTATCAGTGAAGGAATTATTTTGAAATACATTGTTAGTAACTTTAAATGGAAGCTATTTTCAACTACTATTCTTAGAGTTCTAAAAGTTATCTAGAAATTTTTTTAAAAAGAAACTTTATTTAGTGAAATTTTAAAAAGAAAATGTTTTCAAATTTTGTGAAAATGTTTTGTCTATTGTAGATATTGAGGCAGAAAAACATAATAAAAACCAAAAAGAAAGAAATGTCACCACACAGGTAAGTATTTTGCTAAATCCTTACATTTTTCTTTAATACAAAATTTAGGCTATAGGCACTATTAGACGTATTGATTCAGCATGCTCGGAATTTCTTTAAAAAGTAACTATTGACTATTGTTTCTTTCCTCTTTTTTTCCTTCTCAATCAATACTTTTGTTCATTTGTTCAATAAATATTTACTCATTCCACCGTGAGAAGATAAAATTTATCAGGCCTGAGCCTTCTCTTCAGCCATGGCCTGTCTGAGATTCTAAATATTAAGAACAGACTAGTCTGGCTTGTAGAGTCACAGATGTCTACTAAACTTTATTACCTCATGATGTCTGCTGACATCTTAGAAGTAGGAGATTCAACATTTTCAGTCTATTCTCAACCGAGAAACCAGCATAAGCCTATAAATGCAAGTCATTTCAAATCATTCCTTTACTCAAAGGAGCTTCCCATCTCACATAGGGTAAAACCAATTCCTTGCCTACTAGGCTCTGTGATCTGGCCTCATGTTTTTTCTCTGACATCATTTCCTACTACTGTCTCCTTTACTCGCACCATTCTAGACACACTGGGCTTTGCGCTGTTCCTCAGAAACTCCAGGCATGGGCCTACCTTTCTGTTCTTTCTACTTGGAACATCTTTGAGCCCAGATATCCATTTGGCTCCCTTCCCTCATCTTCTTTAGGTCTTTGCTCAAACCTTTTGGAGGGTCCTTCCCTGGGCACTCTGTAAATTTGCATTCACTCTTTCTAAAATTGCAAACCCTGTCACAACACCTTTATCTTTATTCCCTGTAGCATTTTTCTCTCAGAATTATCACTACGTAACATACTATATTTTGTTATGTCGCCCTCCACTAGAATATAAACTCCATGAGAGCAAAGGTTTTTGTCTGTGTTGTTCACTGCTTTTATCCCAGCAACTAGAACAGTGCCTGGCACATAGTAGGCACTCAATAAATGTTTATTGAATTAATGAATAAATCTTAAATTTAGATTAAAGGAGTAAACTTTGAAAAACTGTTTATATAAATTAAAAACTCCTTTCTCCATTGCAATATTTTCTAAACCCCTCCAAATTTAGCTCTTCTCCATTACCATAACTACCACATCCCATAATGAAAATAGAAGTGACCTTGGCACAAAGCCCACATTTTGTCCTTGGGCAGGTGGAGTTTGAAAGGACATCAACTTCATCAGGTCATCTTGATTTCTCTTGTAGACTTTGCTATCTTGTGATATGCAGCGCCTGCCCAACAACACATGAAAGCCCCCTTTGGAATCAAGGAGCTCCTCACTGCTCCGGATCAAGGACGCTGCTCAGACCCATAAGAGTCCTTCCCATTGCCTGGGATTAGTAGATGAGGCCTATATAGTAAATGGTGAGAAAGGACCCCAGCTCTATGTATAGCCAAGCACAAAGGAAAACTATAAACTATTCTAAGAGATCTCAGAATATTGGACAACAAAAGCCCAAAGAAAGGAGAAAACATGCCAGGGTAGCCTGTTTGTAGACTGAATATCTCACTCAATTCCCCTGGAGTATCTGCTTTTTTAATCTTCCTTAGCACCAACCTCATAGAGCACAGACTGCAGAAGTGAAAAGACTGGGCTACAAATGGCTCTAATGCAAATTTCCCTCACATCCCTGCTACACTACAGGCAGAATAAAGCAACCTCCATTCACTACACTTGCCATATTGTTTCATGACTCCTTTGCAATAAATAGGATACTGTCTGGCTGATAACACTCTCCCCCCATCTCTACCCCCATTGTAGACCTGGTAAATTCTGGTTCTTTCATAATAATTACTATTTGCTTTATAATTTTTTAAAACGGCCTTCTAAGCATAGCTTCTCTTTCCCTAGTTTTTCTCTTTCTGGCTCTACAACTCTACGATTCACAAAAGAATATCATCTGCTCCTTCGTTTCTCCAACACACACTTTTTTAAAAAACACAAATAAAAAAAATTTAAAGACACTTTGTCTTGTGTAAAGGATCCAATATTTTCAGGAACTCTGTGTATTATTTCCTTCCGTATTAAAGAACGATTGTGATCGCAGAGGTGGTCAACCCCCAGGTATCTAATGTACTACCAGGGAGTAACTGAGGCCCCTTAAGGGAGCAATTCAAGTGCGTGGCTCAGGGGCCATTATGACAGCCACCACCACCAAGACCAACAATGAAAACAAGGAAAGGGTAGCTCAGATGCCAGCACTGAGCAGTTCTGCTGGAGTTCCCAGAGTGCTCAGTCCCATTTTCTCCTTCATCTAAACAGTCACATTCTTCTTATTTTTGAGATTAACATCTTGTTACAGCAGACAATTAGACTTCTTTTTTTTTACACTTTTTGGTACCTTGTTTTATGTCCTTATTGTCATAATTCATATTAAGAACAATGTATTACAGTTATGAAATACCTTAAACTTTATAAAACCCCTTCACATATACCATTCATTCCTCCTAACACCCTAACAAAGATGTTAACTGGTTATTTAAATGGTTAACTATTATCCCCATTTTACAGATTAGAATAAGCAAGCCTATTCAAATTTAAAAGATCTTTGTATTACAAATTTTCCATATACATATTCATTGAACACAATGCCTACTATGTACCAAATACAGTTATTGGAATTTGGATTTTCAGAAAGGTTCTGATTTTTTTTTTTTAGCTTTGTGACACCTCTATTTGATAATTACTTGAACTTAATTGTCTCTGAGAACTTCTCCTCTTGCAGCCCTCTCAAGCATTTTCTCCTACAGCCCAATTATATTGGCTCTAGTCGGGGCAGTGGGTATCCGTCTCCCTCCTCACTATTATAGTCTCACTAGGAGAATAATAGGAGCTGAGGACAGAGAAGTAGCTGTGGTCTTTCTCTCCAACTCTGCTCCTGTCATCATTCTTGGAGATTTTGGTATCTGTGAATCCTAGACTCTCAGTTCCGTTATTTAGATCTTTTTACTCCATTAATTGCACACTCTTCAGTACTCCCTTGGTCATAATCTGGACTATGTCTTTCCCAAATTAAAATTTCAAGCTTCCAAGTCTCTGATGACCACTCGGTGCTTTCCAGGTTCTTCTATTAATGCTTCAATTCCACATCAAATCCATTTGCTCCTTTTCCTGTGCATCGTTACCCTCACATCCTCACTTCCCTTCTTAGTTGGCTTAGAGTTGATGGCTCATCACTACAGGACCACAATCCCTTTTCCAAAGCCCTTGGGAACAAGTGCGTTTCAGAATTCAACGTTTGTTTTCAAATTTTGGTAAAATATACATAACATAAAATTTATCCTTGTAACCATTTCTAAGAATATGTTTCATTAGTGTTAACTACATTCACACTGCTGTACAACCAGTCTCCAAAACTCTTTTCATCTTGCAAAACTGAAACTCTTTACCCATAAAACAGCAACTCTCCACTACTCCTAACCTCCCAGCCCCTGGCAACCATCATTATAGTTTTTGTCTCTATGACTTTGATTACTCTAGCTACCTTATATAAGTAGAATCATACAGTGTTTGTCTTTTTTGTGACTGACTTAATTTCACTTAGTATAATGTCCTTAAGCTTCCTCCATGTTGTAGCATGTGTCAGAATCTTCCTTCTTGAGGTTGAATAAGTTCCATTGTACATATATACCATATTTTATTTATCCATTCATCCATTGGTGGACACTTGGGTTGCCTACAACATTGGCTATTGTGAATAATGCTACTATGAATGTGGGTGTAAACATACCTCTTCGATATCCTGCTTCCGGTTCTTTTGGGTATATACCCAAAAGTGAAATTGCTAGATCATATGATAGTTCTAATTTAATTTTTTAGGAACTGCCATATTGTTTTCCACAGTGGTTGCACCATTTTACATTCCCACCAACAGTTCCAATTTCTCCATATCCTTGTCAACACATTATTTTCTGTTTTTGCTTTTTTTTTTTTTTTTATAGTAACCATCCTAATGGATGTGAGGAGGTATCTCATTGTGGTTTTTATTTGCTTTTGCCTGATGGTCAGTGATGTTGAGCATCTGTTTATGTGTTTGTTGGCCATTTGTATATCTTCTTTGGAGAAATGTCTATTCAAGCCCTTTGCCCATTTCCTAATAGGATTGTTAGATTTTTTTTGGTGTTGGATTGTAGGAGTTCTTTACACCTTCTGGATATTAACCTCTTATAGGATATATGATTTGCAAATATTTTCTCCCTTTCATAGGTTGCTTTTTCACTTTGTTAATAGTGTCCTTTGATGCACAGAAGGTTTTCATTTTGACTTAGTCCAATTTACCTATTTTTATTTTTTTGCCTGTGCTTTGGGTGTCATATCCAGGAAGTCATTACCAAATCCAATGTCATGAAACTTTTCCCTATGTTTTCTTCTAGTTTTATAGTTTCACGCATTATGTTTAGGTCTTTAATCCATTTTGAGTTACCTTTTGTATATAGTATAAGGTAAGAGACCAACTTCATCCTTTTGTACATGGATATCTGATTTTCCCAGCACAATTTTTTGAAAAGACTGTCCTTTCCCCATTGAATGATCCTGGCACTCTTGTTGAAGATCATTTGACTATATGTGAGAGTGTTTATTTCTTAGCTCTCTATTCTATTCCATATCTGTCTTTATGCCACTACCACAGTTTTGATTACTGCAGCTTTGTATAAAATTTTGATGTCAGGAGGTGTGAGACCCACAACTTTTTCTTTCTCCAGATTGTTTTGGCAGTTCACGATTCCTTCAGATTCCATATGAATTTTAGGAGGACGTTTCTATTTCTGAAAAAAAAAATGCCATTGGGATTTTGTTAGGGATTGCATTGAATCTGTAATCACTTTGGGTAACATTGACATTTTAACAGTATTAAATCTTCTACTACGTGACCACATGATGTCTTCCCGTTTCTTTTTGTCTTCTTTAATTTCTTTCAGCAATGCTATGTAGTTTTCAATGTATGAGTGTTTCACCTCCCTGGCTAAGTTTATTCCTAAGTATTCTATTC